AAGGCAAGACTAAGACAACCCACTATCAAGAGACAAAGCAATCAACACAAGCTTCAGCTGATGAAAATATCAGACAGGGAATTTAAAACAATTATGATTCATCTTTTAAAAATTTTAATGGAAAAGGTGGACAACATGAATAAACAAATGGGAAATTTGAGAAGAGATGAAAACTGCAAAAAAAAAAAAAAAAAAAAAAAAACCTCAAACGGAAAATACAGAAAGCACAGTAACAGAGTTGAAAGAATACCTTCAACAGGTTCAGCAGTGGACTCAATAAAGCTGAGGAAAGTTTCAGTAATTCTAAAGACAAGTCAAAAGAAATTACCCAAAATGAAACACAAAGTAGAATGAAAAATTAAATAAATAGATAATCCAGGGGCGCCTGGGTGGCTCAGTTGGTTAAGCGGCTGCCTTCAGCTCAGGTCATGATCCCAGGGTCCTGGGACGGAGCCCCGCATCCAGTTCTCCGCTCAGAGGAGAACCTGCTTCTCCCTCTCCCTCGGGCTGTGCCTACTTGTGCTCTATCTCTCTGTCAAATAAATAAATAAAATCTTAAAAAAAATAGAGAATCCAAAGGCTGTAGTACAGTATCAAACAGCCTAACAAACATGTCATTGGAATCCCAAGAGGAGAAGAGAGAATGGAACAGAAGTATTTGAAGACATAATGACTGCGAATTTTCAAAAATAAGAAATGATACCAACTATAGATCCAAGAAGCTCAAATAATTTATCCAAACAGGATAAATACCAAGCCAAACCATATGTAACACATCATATTCAAAACCACTGAAAACTGAGGTTAAAGAGACAGTCTTGAAAGTAGCCAGAGGGAAAACTGACACATTATATAGAGGACCAAGATAAGAGTCACAGCCAATTTGTCATTAGAAACTATACAATCCAGAAGATAATGCAGTGACATCTTTAAAGTACTTAAAAAAGGGGGGGGCAGGGCGCCTGGGTGGCTCAGTTGGTTAAGCGACTGCCTTCGGCTCAGGTCATGATCCTGGAGTCCCGGGATCAAGTCCCGCGTCAGGCTCCCTGCTCAGCGGGGAGTCTGCTTCTCCCTCTGACCCTCCCCCCTCTCATGTGCTAATAAATAAAATCTTAAAAAAAGGGGGGGCAACTATCAACCCAGTATTCTATACCCAGCAAATATATCCTTCAAAAAATGAAACTGAAATCAAAACCTTTTTGAACAACCAAAAACAGAAAATTCATTACCAGTAGACTTGTACTACAAGAAATACTTAAAGTAGTTCTTCATGTAGAAGGAATACGATATGAGACAAAAATCTGGATCTACATAAAGAAATAAAGATCTCTGGGAATAGTTAAAGATGACTCTAAAGGAAACTTTTTTTTTTTTTTAAGATTTGATTTATTTACTTGACACAGAGAGAGAAAGCACAAGCAGGGGGAGCGGCAGGGAGCAGGAGAGGGAGAAGCAGGCTTCCCACTGAGCAGGGAGCCTGACGTGACCAGATGCAACGCAACGCAATGAGGGGCTCGATCCCAGGACCCTGGGACCATGACCTGAGCCGAAGGCAGCTGATTCACCAACTGTGCCACCCAGGCGCCCCAAGGAAACTTTTTCTTACTTTTAATCACTCTAAAAGATAACTGATTTGTCAAAAAATAGCAGTTTTGTAGGCTTATGGCATATGTAAAAGTAAAATACATGACAAGAGCACAAAAGATGGGATGATGAAATTGGGAGTATACTGTCATAAGGATCTTATAAAGCAATATAATATTACTTAAAGGTCCACTGTGATTAACTCCAGATGTATACTGTAAACTCTAGAGCAACCACAAAAAAAATTTTTAAGAGGTATAAATAAGCCAATAGTGGAGAAAAAAAAAATGAAATCATAAAAATACCCACTAATCCAAAAGTAGTCAGAAAAAGAGGAAAATAGGAACAAAGACCAAATAGGACAAGTAGAAAAAACTAGCAAGACAGTAGATTTTAATCAAACCATGCTGATAATTGCTATAAATACACCAAAGAAATGACAGAGGTTGTCAAACTGGAAAAAAAAGCAAGGCCAAACTATGTGCTGTTTATAAGCAGTCGGAAACATAAAAACATAGCTAGATCAAAAGTAAGAGGATGGAGGCGCCTGGGTGGCTCAGTCTGGGTCTGACTGACACAGTGTCTGTGTCCGACTCTTAGTTTTGGCTCAGGTCATGATCTCAGGGGCCTGAGATCAAGCCCCACATGGGGCTTCATGCTCAGCGTGCAGTCTGCTTATCCCTCTCCCTGTGCTTCCCCTCTCCCCACACATTATTTCTCTCTCTCCCTCTCTAAAATAAAATCTTGAAAAAAAAAAGTAAAAGGATGAAAAAGATATGCTTTGTAAACACTGATCAAAAGAAAGCTAAAGTGATTATATTAATATAGAACAGAGTAGACTTCAGAATATTACCAGAGACAGAGTGATATTACATGTCACTGTGATAGATAACACCTGATAAATGTGCCAAATGACCAGAAGACCTAACAATCCTAAATGTATATGTACCTAACAAAAGAACTTCAAAATACAAGAAGCAAAAACTGACAGAACAGAAAGAAAAAAATAGATAAGTTCACAATTATAGTTGGAGACTTCAATACTCTTCTCAGTGACAGAACAGGTAGACAGAAAACCAGTAAGGATACAGAAGAATTGAACCACACTATCAACCACCCTGACCCATTTCGTATCTATAGAAGACTCCACCACCACCAGCACAACAGTCATTAAAGTACATATTAAAATTTCCTAAGATAGATCACATTCTTGGCCAGAAAACAAACCTCAGGTTTTAAAGAACTGAAATTTGTAACAAAGTACATTCTTTGAAACAGAAACTAGAAATCAATTAATAGAGATCTGGAAATTCCTTCCTTCCAAATATTTGGAAATTAAACAACAGACTTCTAAATAACCAAGGGGTGAAAAGTCACAAGGAAACCTTAAAAAAACCATAGAACTGAATGGAAATGAAAGCAAAACATATCAAAATTTGAGGGATATACCTAAAGTAGTAATATAGCGTTAAACTATTAATTATATTAACTGTAACTATAAACACTGCATTAGGGACACCTGGGTGGCTCAGTCAGTTAAGCGTCTGTGTTTGGCTCAGGTCATGATTCCGGGGTCCTGGAATCGAGTCCCGTTGGGCTCCTTGCTCAGCAGGGAGACTGCTTCTCCCTCTGCCTGCCACTCCCCGTTTGTGCTCTCTCTCTCTGACAAATAAATAAAATCTTGAAAAATAAAAATAAAAAATAAAATAAACATTGCATTAAACTATATCAGAAAAGATTTTCATCAATGAACTCAACTTCCATCTTAAGAAATCAGAAAGAGAAAAGGAAATCAAACCCAAAGCAAACATAAGGAAGGAAATAATAAAGCACAGAAATAAAAAAAAACTTCAAAACAGAAAAACAAGAGAAATTCAATAAAACCAAAAGCTGGTTATCTGAAAAGATCAATAATATTGAAAAACCTCTAGGCAAACTGGCCAAAAGAAAAAAAAGGACACCAATTACCAGTATCAAAAATGATGGAGAAGACACTACTATAGATGCTATAGATATTAAAGAGTTATTCTTTAATAATAAAAATAACTGTTACCTACAATAATTAAGGAGGTGAAAACAAAAAGGGGGAGAAATCCCAAATATACAAAATTAGAACAGTGGAAAATATCAACAAAAACGAGAAAAAACATGAAATAATGGAAAAATGATTAAGTCTTCAATAGCAATAAAATACGACATAAGAATAAAGTTGAGAGGGGCGCCTGCGTGGCTCAGTCCTTAAGCGTCTGCCTCTGGCTCAGGTCATCCCGGAGTCCCAGGATCCAGTGCCACATCGGGCTCCCTGCTCGGCGGGAAGCCTGCTTCTCCCTCTCCCACTTCCCCTGCTGTGTTCCCTCTCTCTCTCTCTCTCTGTCAAATAAATAAATAATATATTTAAAAAAATAGAGAAAAATAACAAACTTTTGTAATTAAGGTTATCAAGTGCCGTTAAGGGGGACAAAACAAAACAGGACTTGAACACTGGGAAGGCCTGCAGTTAAGACCCAACATCATAAAGGAGTCCATTCCCCCTAATTAAATGCAGCCATTAACAGGATCATCATAAAAGTATAGACAGATTTAATACAACTGATTCCAAAGTACAGTGGGAATCATAAGTCAACTTGCATAATCTCAAAGTGGTGAAGGCTTCTGGATGTCGTTCAAGGGAAGAGCAGTAAATTCAACTACAGAGAAATTCAAAACGCCTGCATGGCTAAACTACCAGTGAGCAAAATCAAAAGGCAAATGAAAAAACATGTGCCATTCACACAAAGTACTGGCGGGCCGTATGATCTCGGGTATTCCATCCGAGCCTCCGTTTTACCTCCAGTTGCAACTGAGATACTAGCGGCGTCACAGGCTAGATGTAAGGATCAGAGGAAGATTTAGCTTTTAAAGGCTTTCGCAAAAAGGTCAGAGCTCTCATTTGGCACGCCGTGTGCATCAAGGCAACTCGCGGGGGCTTTCTTGCCTCCCTGCACCTGGCGAGGCTCGGGCACGCAGCACACGGCTTCCGGGCGCCGCCAGGTGTGCCCGGCCCCGCCCCCGGCCTCGCCCCGCGCCCTCGGGGCCTGGTCACGCGCGCGCCCGCGCGGGCTTCCGGACTCGCTCCCGCGCGGCAGGAGACACTTGCGGCCGGTCGGCGGCGCTTCTCCTGACAAAGGGAGGAAGGCGAGCCCTCGCCGCCGCCCTCCCTCGCAGCCGTCTCCGCCCCCGCACGTCCGGCCAGGCGGGCCCCGCTAGCCCCGCGCCGACGACACCGCCGGGCGGCCCCTGACGCCGCCCCGAGGGTCACCGCCGCCTGGGAGTCGCCGAAGTTTGGGCTCCCACCCCGCGCGGATAGGAGCCCATCCCTCATCTCCTTCCCCTCGGCCCTCAAGCCCCGCGGAGCTGCGTGGCAACCCCCCTCATACCTGGAGGGGCACAGCCTCCACTTGTGGCTCAGTGCCAGGCCGGGTCACGGCGCGGGTCGGCGAAGACGCGCGGAGACCGGGGCCCTGTCACCCACTCACGGCAGGAGGTGGGGGAAGGGCAGCCACCAGCGCGCTCGCAGCATTGCACATGCGCAGATGCAAGGGCTGCTCGCCGTCCCAGGGTCCTCTGAGGGGTGGTTTATAGAACTCCGGGACTACATTTCCCATAAGCCTTTGGGCGTGCCGCTGTAGGGGCTCTCTGGAAGGTCTTCTCCTAGTTTGGCGGGTGGCAGGAGCCTGACCGAGATAATTCCCGGCGGAGGCGATAATCCCGCGTCTGAACTATTCATTTCCTCCAGAAAGGGTTATGAATTATAACTACCACTTATCCCCAAATATAAAAACCTGGCCTTTAAAGATTACAAAAAAAAAAATAAAGGTTACATAGGTAATCTATGGTACCTAATTAGAAAATATGTATAAAATAAAAGTAAATGTCACCTATAATTTTTCAAAGATAGCCGTGTGTAACATTAAATTCATACCTTTCTCATTTTTTAAAAAATACAATTGGCCAGGGGTGCCTATCTGGCTCAGTTCCATGGAGAATCTCAGGGTTATGGGTTCAAGCCCCATGTTGGGTGTAGAGATTACTTAAAATCTTTAAAAAAAAGTAAAGTAGGGGCACCTGGGTGGCTCATTCGTTAGTTAAGCGTCTGCCTTCAGCTCAGGTCATGATCCCAGGGTCCTGGGATCGAGCCCTGCTTGGGGCTCCCTGCTCCAAGGGAAGCCTGCTTCTCCCTCTCCCACTCCCCCTGCTTGTGTTCCCGCTTTCTCTGTGTCTCTGTCAAATAAATAAATAAAATCTTAAAAAAATAATAAAATTGGCTATAAAGATATCATGGGCTGCAACAAGCTTCTTTTGTCTTTATTTTTTAGGGCAGTTTTATGTTCACAGAAAAATTTGAGGAGAAAGTACAGAGAATTTCCATACACCACTGGCCTCTGCACATGCATAGTCTTCTCCACTATCAACATCCCCTACCACAGTGGTACATTTGTTATAATGAAATGTACATTGACACATCACCCAAAGTCTATAGTTTACATTAGGATTCATTCTTGCTGTACAGTCTATGGATTTTGATATGTGTATATATGATGTATAATATATAATGACATGTATCCACCACTACAATATATAGAATAATTTTTCATTCCCTGTGCTCCTTCTATCATTCCTTCCTCCTTCTCCCTGAACCCCTGGAAAACACTGATATTTACATGTGCATAGTTTAGTATAGTTGGAATCATATAGAATATAGCCTTTTCAGATTAGCTTCTTTCACTTAGAAACATGCATTAGAGGTTTCTGTATATCTTTTCATGGCTTGATAGCTCATTTTTTAAAGTTTTTTTTTAATTTTTTTTAATAATTTTTTTATTGTTATGTTAACCACCATACATTACATCATTAGTTTTTGATAAAGTTTTTTTTTTTAATTTTAAGTACTCTCTACACCCAACGTGGGGCTTCAACCCACAACCCTGAGATCAAGAGTCACACATTCCATTGATTGAGCCAGCCAGGTGCCCCAATAGCTCATTTCTTTTTACCACTGAATAATATCCTGTTACATGGATGTACTGCCATTTATTTATCCATTCACCTACTGAATGGTTGCTTCCAAGTTTTGATGATTATGAATAAAGCTGCTATAAACATTCATGTGCAGGGTTTTGTGTGGAAATAAAATAACTTATTTGGGTAAGCACTAAGGAGTATAATTGCTAGCTCATATGGTAGGAGTTTGTTTCGTTTTATAAGAAACTGCCAAACTGTGTTTCAAAGTGGCTGTGCCATTTTGCACTCCCACCAGCAGTGAATGAGAGTTCACATTGCTCCACATCCCTGCCAGCATTTGGTATCGTCACTGTTGTGGATTTTGGCCATTCTGATAGCTGTGTAGTGGTAGCAACTAGCTTTTAATTAAAACAATACATGGTTTCAAAAAGGTACTTGTACATCAATGTTCAGAGTGGCATTATTCACAATAGTCAAACGGTAGAAAGAACTCAAGTGCCCATCAACAAAAGAATGGATAAATAAATGTGGTATATATGTATGATGGAATATTATTCAGCCAAAAAAAAAAAAAATGAAGTTCTGACCCATGCTGCAACGTGGCTGAACGCTGAAGATATGCTAAGTGAACTAAGCCAATATTGTGTACTTCCACATACAGGAAGTATCTAGAATAGGCAAATTCATAGAGAAAGTAGAATAGAGATGACCAAGGACTAGAGGGAGGGAGGCATGGGGATGATGTGTGGAACGATGAAAAGTTTCTGAAAAGAGATAGTGCTAGGGGTGCTTGGGTGGCTGTCGGTTGAGGGCCTGACTCATGATTTCCACTGAGGTCACAATCTCAGGGTTGTGCTTGGTGGCGTGGAGCCTGCTTGAGCTTCTCTCTCTCCTTCTGCCCCTCCAGCCCTGCTCACACACTCTCTCTCAATAAACTGGGAGATGGACATTGGGGAGGGTATGTGTTGTAATGAGCACTGGGTATTATATAAGACTGATGAATCACAGACCTGAAACAAATAATACATTATATATTAATTAATTGAATTTAAATTTTAAAAAGTGGGGGGAAAAAAGAATAAAAAAATAATATCCTGGATTGAAGTGATGGATTCATAACTCTAAATCACTAAAAATCAAATTCTCTGAAAGGTATTTTTGTTATTTACTAATTATACTGTTCTGATTATTTTTTCATTTGATGGAATAATTCCATACTTCAGAAAGAAAAACAGACTACTCAAGACATTTTTTTAAAAAAGACTAATAACTATTAGATGTAAAAATGTATTACACAAAATAATGCCTTTTATGTGTATTTTGAAGACTACTGGAATATACAAAAAGAGGGAAGAGCCCTCATCCTCCATATGCACATACAAAATAATTTCTCCTACTGCCTTATGCTTAACAACACAGAATACTGTGTGTGTGAAATGTTTCTGAAGAGCTTGAAAAATTCAAAACCACATTTTTTCTATTAATTTCCTCTTAGGAATAAAGGACAAGTGTAGAGAATGTTTTTTGGAAAACACATTGCTTTTTCTTTTGGTTTTGGGGGTTTTTTAAAAGATTTTATTTATTTGTCAGAGAGAGAGAACACAAGCAGGGGGAGTGGCAGGCAGAGGGAGAAGCAGGCTCCCCGCGGAGCAGGGAGCCCGACACGGGGCTCCATCCCAGGACCCTGGGATCGTGACCTGAGCCGAAGGCAGACGCTCAATCAGCCAAGGCACCCAGGCGTCCCCACAATTGCATTTTTTATTTAACTGTTGCTTTTAGGGGCCCCTGGCTGGCTCAGCTGGTGGAGCATGTGACTCTTGATCTTGGGGTTGTGCGTTCGAGTCCCTCATTGGGTGTAGAGATTACTTAAAAAAATTTTTTTTTAATCTTAAATGTAGCTTTTAATTTTTTTGACTTTCCACTAAAGTTTCACAGAGTGCTCTCTTCTCAGTCAACTACCCAGTATATCCTACAGGTTGTTCGATCACCTTCTAGGTATGTTGTCATATCTACTTCTGTTCCAACGGGCACTGGCACCAACATTAAGGACATGCTTGGATGGCACTGCTATAGGATGTAAAGGGATTTTAACTGTAATAATAGTGACTAAAGTGGAGCACATAAAAAACAGTGTGGTTTGTTCATAGGCATTAAACAAAAAAGGTTTTAATTTTTGTTAACTTGCTCAAATGACATTACCGTGGGGCAGAGATCATATATCACAACACGTGACTTTATCAATGAACTTTTGTACTCTGTTATATTAAAATCCACTGGGGGGCACCTGGGTGGCTCAGTTGGTTAAGCATCTGCCTTCAGCTCAGGTAGTGATCCCGGGGTCCTGGGACCAAGCCCTGGCTTGGGCTCCCTGCTCAGGGGGGAGTCTGCTTCTCCCTCTCTCTCTGCTCCTCCCCCTCCCGCTTGTGCTTTCTCTGTCTCAAATAAATAAATAAATTCTTAAAAAAAAATCCATTGGTCTTTCTTGCACTTTGAAAGGATCATTTATCCAGGCATGATTTTGTAACATCATGCGTTGGTCATTTGAAAAATAACTGGCTCACTGAGTCATGAAGATCTTTTAAGTGTTAATATATTCCATTACATAGTATCAAAGGACCACAGTAATATCACCACTGGTCTCACCAGAAAAGCTTTAAATATTGGGAAGCAGATACAAGTTTTTGCTAAAATTCTGATCTTCACTTGAAAGCTCATTTTATCATTGGGCAACAAATATAGTCAGTTGTTTTCCTTGAAGTGACAGCTCACTTCATTCATTTTTGAGAAAATGTCTGCCAAACACCCAGCCTTCGTTTGACTGTCAGCCAAACCAGTAAAAATGGTGTTGCAAGAGAAAAGCAGCTAGTTCAGCTCATGACTCAAATGACTGCATGAGTGATTTTCCTGGAGACAACCGTCATGCTCCTGCATGGGGCAGAAGTACTTGTGCATTCTTCCTGTTTCATCAGAGTATTAAAAAGACACACTCTAGGTTCCTGGGGGAACCTAGTCGTTAAGTGCCTGCCTTCGACTTAACCAGTCGTTAAGTGTCTGCCTTCGGCTCAGGTCATGGTACCCGGGGTCCTGGGATCAAGCCCCACGTGGGGCTCCTTGCTCAGCGGGGAGCCTGCTTCTCCCTCTCCCTCTGCCTGCCACTCCCCCTGCTTGGTCTCTCTCAAAAAAATGAATAAAATCTTAAAAACATAAACAAAAGACACGCTCAAAGGTTGAAACTTAATACAACTGATAATTTTTACTGCTCCATTAAGGTCATTCTTAAGTGAACCTAGCATTCCTTGTCTAGAATTGCGTGAGAGCACAGAATGCAATGACCGCTAGTTCAGTGGGGTGTCACTCTCTGGAATCCTGCTGTGGCACCAGGAAGGCCCCCCTCCCTTCCAACTGCTTTTGCAGGAAAGTAATGTCTAAGTATTATTATCAAAATAATCTTGACCTCCTGGATTTCCTGCGAGTATCCTGGGGACCCCAGGAGTCTGCAGACTACATTTGCAACACAATCTTTGT